TCTCGTGCCAACCTCCTTGTCTCTGACACACCTACCCTCATTACTCTAGTCACTCAGTCAATCCATCTCATCAAAGGTCTTCCTCTCTTGTGCTGTCCCTCCACCTTCCCAAGCATGATGTCCCTCTCCAAGGACTGGTCCCATCTTACAACATGTCCAAAGTATGTCAGACGAAGCTTTAAAATCCTGGCCTCCAAGGAGCAGCCTGATTTCACGCTTTCCAGGTCGAACCTGTTTGTTCTCTCTAAAGCCCATAGTCTATTCTATACTCTGCCAGCATGACAACTCAAAGGCATCAATTCTTCTATCATTTTTCGTCAGTACCCATTTAAGTAGAATGCCCATATAGCTAAAAAAACCTTTATCCAGGTGCCAAAATATACTCTGTTGTTTTTATGTGCCTTTGAGTCGCCTGCGACGCAGAGAGATTCTATGTACAGCGGCTCTGAATTCTGCCCTGGCCTGAGCCAGTCTCACTAATTCCAACACATCAACTACCACTGCCCCAGTTACTGTATCAATCCATCTTATCCTGAGTGTCCCTCCACCCATCTAAGCATAATGTTCTTCTCTAAGGACAGGTCTCTCCTGTCTACATGCCCAAAGTTTATAAGGCAGACCTTCAAAGTTTATAAGGCAGACCTTCAAAATCCTCGTCTCCAAGAAGAAACTTGGTTTCACCCTCTCTAAGACAGATCTATTTGTTTTCTTGGCAGTCCATGATTATGTTCAAGACTCTTCTCTAGCACCCCAACTCGAGGGAATTGCTTCTTTGTGGATAATCTCCTCCATGCAATTAACTTGCCTCTGAATGCCCACCAGAGGGTCAGCTGGGGTCAGTTCTGACTTCAATGGCATACAACAATACTTATTTTACGTATTATAAATTAGTATGCCTCAAATGTTTTATATAGTTATTTGAGTTCTTAAATATTCCTGAATATAAAAAATTTTCATGATGATTTAGATCATTCATTCTATAAAATATTAACCATGTGATAGTATATTTGTGATTACTAGTTACCTTTTGTCACTTCTACCTCCATGCCACACTTATTAAAATCTTTTTATGCCTTTTTGACTACTGTGAACAACCTTCCTCACATTATTGCTTCTAATCTTTTATGGGCTGAAAGCAATAAATTAATTTTAAGAAGTGTGTATTTTAAATAAGGCCTTTTCCAAGGGTTTAGTCGAAATATTCAAAGTCTGTCCCTGCCTAAGCCAAGTTTTTAATTAATTAATTCTAGAGGACCTCATGCACTTGCTGCGGAGGGTCAAGGACTGCAGCCTTCAGTATGGACTGAGGCTCAATGTCAAGAAGACAAAAGATTCTCACCACTGGACCAATTGGCAGCATCAGGATGGATGGCGAAGAGATTGAGATTGTTCACAGCTTCAGTTTGCTCGGCTCCACAGTCAACACTCTTGGCACCAGCAGTCAGGAAATCAAACAGCGTATCGCAATGGGAAAGTCTGCTGTTAGGGACCTCTCTAAAGTACTCAGGAACAACGGTGTCTCTCTGGAGACTAAGGTGTGCCTGATACAGCCCATGGTCTTTGCAATCGCTTGTTATGCATCAGAGAGTTGGACAATGACTAGCGAGGACAGAAGGAGAGTTGATGCCTTTGAGCTGTGGTGCTGGAGAAGAGTACTGAATGTACCCTGGACTGCCAGGACAACAAACAGATTGATCTTGGAGAGGATTAAACCAAGATGCTCCTTGGAGGCAAGGATTCTGGGGCTTCGTCTGACATACTTTGGACATGTTGCCAGGAGGGACGGGTCCTTGGAGAGGGACATCATGCTTGGGAGGGTGGAGGGACAGCGCAGGAGGGGAAGACCCTCTATGAGATGGATTGATTCAGTGACTAGGGTAATCGGGATGGGTGTGTCAGAGGCAATGCGGTTGGCACAGGATAGAGCAGGGTTTAGGGCTGTTGTGCATAGGGTCGCTATGAGTCACAAACGACTTGGAGGCACATAACAACAACAACAAAAAAATTTTACTTTCTCAGACCTAAACATCAAAGTTTGCTTTTCCTTTTTCAGTTTGAGAAAGGAATAATGGAAAATCTTTGTCTCAATAAGATTTCTCCTTCTCAACCTGCCAGCCCACATTTATTTGTAAGATCTGGAAAATAAGAGAGTAACCACTAAGAATCGTCCTAAGAAATTCAGTAGAAAACTATCCATATATTTTTTCTCTTAGATGAACTCATTTATTTGACACTTTAAATTGAAAAAACATATGCATAAAACTACTATATCACCTCACCCCAGTCAGAATAGCAAAATTTAACAGAATAGCAAGCAACAAATGCTGGTGAGGTTGTGGAGAAACTAGAACCCTTATTCACTGTTGGTGGGAGTGTAAAATGGTATAACCACTGTGGAAGGCAGTACGGCGCTTTCTCAAAAATTTGCAAATAAAGATACCATTTGACCCAGCAATTCCACTGCTGGGAATATACCCCAAAGAGACCATAACTGACATCCAACCAGATATATGCACACCCATGTTTACTGCGGCTTTGTTCACAATAGCAAGGAGTTGGAAACAACTTAAGTGCCCATCAACAAACGAGTGGATAGAGAAGCCGTGGTATATTCACACAACAGAATACTACACTACACTGAAAAGCAAGGAACTCATGCAATATTATTCAAAATGGGTGACTCTGGAGGACATTATGCTGAGTGAAGTATCTCAGTCACAAAAGGACAAATACTGCATGGTGCCACAGTTGTAAAACCTGACTGACAATGGGGTTGGGGGGAAGACTGAAACAGATGGGTTCAATAATGTATACTGCACTGAAACAAATAAGGGAGAAAACTGTTTAAAAGGGATATGTGATTAGTTATTTTTGTCATGAAAGGAGTCTAGAGCGAAGGCTGCTTAGTGGAGTGGACCTGGGGGAGGGTTTGTAAAACAAAGAAATAATTTTTCTTTTACTTTTCCAAGAGGGTAGTGTACTAGAGGGGAGGGTTGGGAGGGGCGAAAAGTGCAACAGTAAATGATGGAAACCCAAAGTCTCTGTAAATTTTCACTGAAATTAACAACAAATTTTTTTAAAAGCACTCAACAACATAGAAAAATTAACAAATTAAAAAAAATATGCAAATGCATAAAACGGTCTCTCTTTGGAGATGAAGGTGCGCCTGATACAGGCTACGGTCTTTGCAATCACTTGTTATGCATCAGAGAGCTGGACAATGACTAGGGAGGACAGAAGAATTGATGCCTTTGAGCTGTGGTGGAGAAGAGTATTGAATGTACCACGGACTGCCAAGAAAACAGAGATTCATCCGATAGAAGGCTAAACCAGGCTACTCCTTGGAGGCAAAGATTCTGGGGCTTCGTCTGACATACTTTGGACATGTTGCAAGGAAAGACAGGTCTTTGGAGAGGGACATCATGCTGGGTAGAGTAGAGGGACAGCGGAGGAGGGGGAGGTGGACTGATTCAGTGACTGGGGTAATCGGGATGGGTGTGTCATAGGCAATGCGATTGGCACAGGATAGAGCAGGGTTTAGGGCTGTTGTACATAGGGTCGCTATGAGTCGCAAACGACTCGACGGCACATAACAACAACAACAACTTAAAATTATCATAGCAATGGTCAAACATAATGAATTTGGAATAAATTCAAGGATTTAAGGCAATAAAACCCTATACAGAAAAAATTCAGGCTTCCAACTTCACTGAATCCGGTACTACATATGCATCTTTATAATCTCCTGGTTCTTCAAAGACTTTCTCACTTTCTAATAATTGTTGAAGATTGGTATATGCACCTTCCCATCTGAGACTCTTGCAAGATCTGTGCCTACTTTATAACAACATAATTTTCACCATCTTCAGCTTTCATTTTTTTCAACCTTTTCTTCTTATTGTTTAGATTCTTTTTTATACATCCCTTTATCTTTGATTAATCACCTGACTACGCCAGTTTTGACCTTAATCTGCCTTATCCGAGAGAACTGCCCATTGTTTGTCGAGTGTCACAGGAAGAAGGGGCAGAAAGAAGAGGATATTCATGTATTTTTGGCACTATGTGTCTTCACTGTGAAGCTCCACTGTTTAAGATCAGGCCAAAGTCTGTAACTATACTTGGGCAGGGGCATCAAAAAGCATCAGTACTACAATCATCAGAGGAAAGGTCACTAATGGAAGGCTTTAGGAAATCATCTGCATGGATTCCATGTCTGTGTTCATCTCGTTCTCCTGTCTGGCATGTACTTTTCATTTTGTCACTTGGTCATCTGCCTCAATCTCAAGTACCACCCCTACATAGTAACGTCTTATCTGACCGAAAGCCTTTTCACCTCTAGAAAAATTAGTACTTTGTACCACCTACTACTGACATTTCATTCATCTTTCTATCACTGCACAAATCAGACTAGGATGTAAGTTGCTTACCCTTTCTCCTCCTTTATTATACTACTAAAAAGCAAACATCTATCTCATTTTTAAAATCTCACAACTAAGAGTTCTACAGTGAATCTTTTCTGAGTGGATGGAGTTCAAATAGGTTTCATATGTAGCAAGTCTTTTACAATTCTGAGTAGAAAATGAGACAAATACTTCCTATGATGACAAAACCTCACTAACATAAAATCCAAATGGAGATAGGGAACAAAAACAGACCGAAATCAACTAAAAGTTACTATTTATTATTATTTGGGACCAGTTATTTTCTTAAATAGTACAGAAAGGGACTAGTGCAATAACAAAGAAAGATGATAACTGATTTAAGAGTAGGTTAGGTGCCTAAGTTCTACTTGCTCTACAGTAATTTTCAAGACAAAGCTCTGGAAAAGCTTTGTGAGTTTCCTTAGCTGCTTAATAGAAAAGTCCTTTACTATCATCTCCAGAAGGCAGCTTAATAAAATTCACTTCTAACCAAGACAGACAACAAACTATAAAGAAACACAGGTAAGTAGGATATAAGAAAATTTCATGTATAATAAGGTGCCAAATCCAGAGACTTACCGGCAACACACCTCACATGGGTCCACCCAGAGAGTGAGCTCCTTGGGCAAGCCCAGGTCACTGTACAAGATGCAGCTGTTCTCACAAGCTTTCAGGACATCAGGATCAACTCTCTGAAATTTATTGACACGAATGCATCTACAAAAAAGGAGGGTTATATTAATGGCTTTAACTAAATTTCAACTACAAACTTCTATTAGTATTTGTCAATAAACTACAGGTGGGGGATGGACCACAGAAGACTACCCAGGGGAGCACTAATGACCTAGTGATAAGAAGCTACGCTGCAATCCCCAAGGCAAGTGGTTTGAATTCACCATCTGCTCCATGGAAAAAGGATGGACAATCTCCTCCCATGTTATTTACAGTTTTTTAAAACCCACTGGCAGTTCAGCTGTGGGTTGGTTCTTACTTGACAGCAAACAACAGTAAGACTAACCAGTCCAGTGTAGGAAGCACCTATGTAAGCTCACACAATTCACTAGAACTGACTCTCCCTTAGTTTCCAAACCTCATCTGTACATTAAATCAATACAAAGTTTGAAGGTCGAATAGCATTATACAGAACTATAAAGATAAAATTTTTCTATGCCATGTTTCTGTACAACAAAATTTCTAAAGAAATACGTTAAGTGTTTTAAGTATCTAAAAATTCTTATGGAGATATTTGGATCTGACATTATCCTGCTTCTGTACAACAAAATTTCTAAAGAAATACGTTAAGTGTTTTAAGTATCTAAAAATTCTTATGGAGATATTTGGATCTGACATTATCCTGCTTGTATGTATACTCAAGATAATAAAGTATTGAGAAAGATGTCTTTTATTTAGAATTCTTCATTCCACATTATTTAAGACTAAAATATAAACTTGAAGCATTATTGATTCTACTCATTTAACTTCTCAGTTACCCAAGGATTTTCATTATGAAAAACATTTGTAAAGGCAAAGAAGAAAACCTCTTCCTAATATTAACAAAACAACAAACAGGAAATACCACATCTGCCTAGCCTAGGGAGCTTTAGTGGCATAGTGGTAAGAAGCTGTGTTGCTATTCCAAAGGTACACAGTTCCAATCCAATTGCTCTGTGGGAGAGAGATGGAAAATCTCCTCCCATGCACTTTACTGTCTCTGAAAACCTGCTGGAGGGTTGGCTCCAAAACTCGTCAGCAAGCAACCATGGCTACCACCACCTAACAGAATGATGCGTTCCAGGATCTAAAGTGTATGTCATGTAACAAGCCTTGTAGAATTTTCATTTAATGGGAAGATTCTTGTGATTCCTATAGCTATCAAAGTCCAACAGAGTTATTTTTAAAAATTTCTTTTTGTTAAAGTTCCTCCCTTCATCCCTTTCCTAACTCCACTAACCATTCAAAATTCATTCCATCTGTATGTAAACCTTTGCTTTGCTTTTCATACTGACAGTTTTCTATCATAATAGGGAGCTCTGGTGGCCTAGTGGATAGGGAGCTACAAAGTTAACACAAAGATGGTGCCACTCTGGCTGTTAGCATCCAGCAGTGGCTATGAGGTATAAAGATGGAAAATCTCCTGTGCAATTAATTTACAGCCTCAAAAACTTGCTATAGGGTCAACTATGAGTCGATTCCAACTCAGAAGCAATGAATATGGTTATAACTGTCCTTTGTGACTGATTTATGCCACTATGCATATTTGTTCTTGTTTACTCCAACAATCTAGGTTTTAGTACTAGAAAATCTGGCACTTATTTACAAGATGAACTCAGATAATTCAATTTGCCTCTTCCTTAGACTAAAAGCTGTGAAATACAGAAAACAGAAATGACAAACAGCAATTACAGCTTAAGATAAAATGGTCTCTGAATGAAGTAATGTGGTTATTTAAAAAGTATTCTCAAATGCTAAATTATTTTATTAGTTGGTTTCAATTTTCATAAACAATATTATTCTTAAATGCTAACAAGAAATACTTCTAAATAAGTTTAGCTATAAGATGATTTTCTTAGTACATGTGTCAACACTCTAATTCTCAAAATTGTCATGTGACAATTTCCTTGAAAGAAAAAAAAGGTAGAAGATTTAATTAAGCAACTTCCTTAACATGATACAAGTAGTAAAGGGTAGATCCAAGGTTTGAATACAGACACCTGAATGCAAAATTCTTGTTATTAGACAGTATTATAGAATCATCTACAAATGCAGTAAATTCTGAATGGAATAATATTCTTATGTTGTTGTTATGTGCCTGCGAGTCGCTTGCGACTCATAGCGACCCTATGTACATACAACAGCCCTAAACTCTGCTCTGGAAAAATACTATTTGGTTCTTTTTATAAAATGGTCCTATGTTGTAGAGTATAATGCTATACATGAAGAATCCAAAGTCCCATGAGCTATAGAACCAAAATTAGCTAAGGGTAAGGTGACATATGTAAGGAGTATTCCTTTTTGTTCTCAATAATGAGGGTGATGTTCAACAAGAAGCTTTAAAAATATATATGAAAACAGATGCTTAAGAGAGACTTCAATAAAATTTGTATATCTTACATAGCTAATGCTGCTTTTTTAAAAAAACCTTTGCACACTGTGACTTATCTATCAACAACAAATTAAGGTTTTAAAAGTTGCATAATGCATAACTCTCATTTTCCTGATGTTGACAGCTTAGTTCTTTCCCATGTTGGCAATTATAAAGTGTAAGAAGCATCCATATTCATACGTGTACTGGCCTGCATTTCTAACTAGAACTGTTTTGGAGACGTAGTGTTCAAAACTATTTTTTTATAGATTATCCTCCATAAACATTTTATGATCATATATTGCAGAACAACCATTTATACATGTTTTGGAACAAATACAAGAAAAGCCACTTCTGGTCTACCTATAGACTATAAAGACTATTACCTCAAATTAGTCCTATATACATTTTTATAAAAGTAACCATCCATCATTAAGTCTAAAAGTTTTCTACTTCAAAGACAGCTTCAAAATGACTCAATAATGATACTTCTGATCATGCGCCAAGTTAACCCAGCTTGACCAACTTTTTTTCAGGTTTTTAGAATTAATGGAAATGAAACTGTACACCATCTGACCTTTCAACATTTACTTGACAAGGTCTTTTTCAGTAATAGTATGGTAGCTTGGCACTTCCAATGTCTTCATTCAATGTCTAATAGATCAATGCATAAAAAAGAGATCAGTTTCTATCTCAATAAAGCTGTTCATGCTGTCAGAAATGTTACGTACAAAATACAGAATCAAAAGAAGATAAAAAAATGTGAGCCTACTTTATATAGAATAGCCACATTTCTAATTTTTCCGTTTTGATTAAAAGAAGGGGGAAATACACTTAATTACCTCCATTCTTCTCTTGTCAACACAATAAAATGAGAAATAAAATATATTTTCAACTCTTAGATTCCGTGATCGTCTAATGCTTTCAGGAGCTCAGGAACTAAAAGGAACTCCTTTATACATCAAAGCACATAGGTACTAATTTCATGGAGGAAACTCTGGGGAAAACAATACACACAAAATAGAAATGTTGTAGTTGTCACCAGTCACAAGTGTTCCACTTTTATTTTTTGTGTGGCCATGTCTAAAAACCAGGCAAAATTTAATAGCTGTATTTAGCAGCAGGACATTCTCAGTCCAGGTTCCCAGTCACATAAATTCTAGAAAGAAAGCATGCCAGAACATGTTATACAGGAGCCTGCTTTTTAAACTGTAAGTGTAACTTATAAAACAGAGTACAAAAGAGAGGTACAAGTGAGAATCATCTTCTCTTTCAGCAATAAGGGAGTTATACTATGGTATACAGAAAGTTCCTAAGAATTTGGTGTCAGTCAGACTTGACACCAAGTCTCAGAGCAAGCACTGATCAATTATGGATTCTAGGTGAGTCCAAATTACCTGTTATTCCTTTAGTATCAGGAACCTAGTATTCTCTCTCTCATTGATGTTGAGTAGGAATCTACTCTGAACTGACCCCTCTAGAAGGCTTTTCGGGGGCTACCAACAGCACGGGAGGAGATTACCCATGTTTCTTATGTGGAGTAACTGGTGAATTTGACAAAGAGGCTCTCTTATCTTTGTATTAGCAGCACAACTCCCATAGACCAAAATACCAGAGCTCCCTCAAACCCAGTATTAGATGTCTAATAATCTTAGTTCTCTTTCTCTATAAAAGATACTTTCTGCCAAACCTCGTAACACATTTTTAGGCACACAAAGAGGATTTCTCTCAATTCTTATCATAACCATTTGTACAGATGATAGTTTTAGGGGTCCTCCAGAATTGTGAAACCTGCAATTATCTCTTAAGAGTCAAACCATAAGCCATAAAAAAAAGATTAAATCATATGATCTCACAGTACAGACAGTGAGACTTCATCAACAAATATCAGTGCTTTGTTTTGCAGATAAAACTCTAACACACATGATCTAGACATCCATTAGTTCTCTAGCTTTGTATCCATTGCGGGGGATTGACTGGCCTGTTCAATCTAACTGTCCTGACTACTCCTTTACCTGTAGGCCTGTCCTTTTGATGGTTTTTCAGGATACCAATGATTTTTATACTTTTCTTGAAGTATTAAAGTCAATTTCTCAGCAAATCTTTCAACTGCCTCTTTTTTCAACTTATCATGTTTTCGAACTAGCCTTGTGAAAAAGAAGACAACAGCAGCAATTTCATTCTTCATCTTATCCTGTAAAGATAAAACAGGTTTTCTTAGAAACACAAAGTATAAAAACTGGAAGAAAAAAAACTCTGCAAAATAGCCTTCCTTTGTAACTTACTCTTGTACTTCCAATTTTATCTTGTGTTTTAATGGTTCATATCTGAAGTAGAAAGGAAGCTTTTTCACCTTTGCCTCTAAGGAGCATGCCTGACTGAGACTATTCCTTGAAAAGGGATATCATGCTTAGAAAGGTAGAAAGTCAGGTAAAGAGAATTAAGACTCAACCAGATGGACTGACACTGATTGTAGCAATGAGTCAGAATGTAGTCAGATATTGTGAGAATGGCAGAAGATAGCATATGGTTTGGATCTACTGTTCACGATCAGTCATAGTCAACTAGACAACACCTAACAATAGCAACAAACTGAAGTAGGGAACAATCACAAATTTATGTTTATATGATTTTTATTATTGTAAGATATTATCTGAGAATGTTATCATTTAGTTTTGTAGAGAAATTCAGTAAAGAGCCACACCAAATTACTCTAGTTGGATAAATTATCACAAATTTCTATAGCTTTTATTAAGCATGCCAACATTTAGCTAAATTGTAGCTTAAGTCTGTGAAATGGTTTTAAAATTTAAAACCAAAATAGGCCATTTTAAGATCCAGTATTACAGAGTAATTCTGAAAAACAGTTTGATAGATCCTAAAATTTTCTTAAGATCTATCTACATCTTAAAGAGAAATGAAAACACATGTCCCACAAAAACTTGTATATGAATGTGTGTAGCTGTCTTTTTTGTAACAGCCAAAAACAAAAGTAATACAAATGTCCATTAACGAATAGAGGAAAAAAAGGAGTACCTTCCACACAATGGCATATTATTCAGTCACAAAAAAAGGAATTGAGTACTGATACAAGTTACAACATAGATGAGCCTTAAAAATAATATGCCAAGGGAAAGAAACCAATTATGAAATATTTATCTTACAGGAAATGTCCTATATAGGTAAACCTATAGAGGCATGAAGTAGATTAGTAGCTAGACAGGGGAGAATGGGAAATGGGGAGTGACTGCTATACACACAGAGGTTTCTTTTTTGGAATGATAAAAATGTTCTACAACTGACTGCTGTGAAGGTTGTACCAAAACCAAGCATACATTTTAAATCAGTGAACTGTATGATATATAAATTATGTCATTAAAGCTGCTATACATAAAAAAAATTTCAATATTAAGTTTGTGGGTTTGTTGTTTTTGGTTTGTTATTGTTTTTTTTCAGAAAGGGATATATATTTAATCTAAAAGATGTGACATAAAAATAGTAGTTGTACCAAAATATTTTACATTTTCGGTTGTTTCCACCATCACCCCCCAAAAAATTAAGGATCATCCACCAGGGGAGAGGGAGGAAAAGGTAAGAGATTTATCTGCAATAAAAGAATTGTCTCAAAGTGGACTTTTTAAAAAGTGGCATATCTGAATTATCATTAATTCATTCATAAGGGCAAAACCCTTATCCTGGTATTGTTTCAATGTATATTCTGTCTTTAAACAATGAGCTCATTCACTTGGCTGTTTTAAGTAACTTAGTTATTCCAATGCAGCAGTTTGGAACCAAAAATTAAAAGATATACAGCTTTTGCTATACTTAGTATAAAAACTGGCTAACCTAGCAATAGGTGATACAGTGACAATGATTCCACACATTTTAAAAATTAAAGCCAATTCTGTTAAGTTCTTTTACTCTGTTTTCAAATAAGCCCTTTTAATCTCTCAATGTGATTCCTTTACTCTGGGGAGGTGCAAATTCAAATAAGGGACCTCCTTGTGAAAAAAATTCTATAGTTATCTGGGAGGTGCTGGCAGCCACAACCACTCTGATGCTGGACGGGAAGACACTCAGACCTTCTTCCTGGAACTTTAGAATGTCAAATTCACTTTTCATGACCAGCTACCATGTACCAGCCAGTGTGGGCGCACACACAGCTACCATTAACAATTATGAAACCACCTTCTGAAAAATATAAGCTATTTCCACTTTATAAAGACCTACATTTACCACCATGTTACAACATAAAAGGAAACCACTGCAATTTAATACATAGCTTGGGATAAAAGTTGCTGATAGCATTAGTCTCCACCCCACCAAAAAGAAATGAAAACTCTAAACGGATGTTCTAATCTGTAACTAAATCATGCTCCCAATTCATTAAATTTGCCAGCTATGTGCTACATACCAGTTGGCTTGTTTTGGGGTTTTTGCTTTGCTGTTTCACATTAAAAAAAGATCAAGGAAGACAGGAAGGAAAGAACCACTTAGTGGTCTTCTCTTTTGCTTTTAGTTGTAACACAGATGACTCAGATAAAATTACTTTTCCTATTTTGAAAAAAAAAAAATGACAGGAAAAGCTGAAAAACTAACCCACCTCCACCAGTATTCTAGGAGTACCAAATGGTAAAAAGGGGAGCAAGTCAAGTCAGGCAGAGAAAAACCAGAAGCAAGCGGGGGTTAAAACGACTTCAGACGTCTTGGGTAAGTAGTAAAAACAATTCACCCACTCACTGGCAAAAGCTCCCATTTTAAACGTTGTATGGTGACGTCATCCTGGGACGTAGTCACCATCGCTGCTGCTATTGAAGTTCTACTTTTGTGCTCTCACGGATCAAATCCCAAGGCAAGGCAAGCCCTGCCTTCCAAGAGTTTGTAACTTTTCCCGCTCTTGTGGCGAAAGCCTAATCGTCACCGTTTCTACAAACAAAACATTTCTCCTGCTAATGTCCCAACGTTGAGGAAGCGGGAGCCCAAGCGGGTAAGGGGTGATGGGACCTTGACCTGCGCCTCAGGGAGGTTCGGAAGGTGGATCGCCCCGCGCTGAGGAAACAAACAACGTTCCACGGGGCCGAGAGATTTACCTTTAAGTCACCAAATCCTGCGGTTCAGCACTCGCACTTGGGTTGTAGGGGTGCGAGGTAAGGAGCTCCCAAGCAGCTCCCACCTCCTGAAAGGCGGGCCTGCAAGCAGCACCCAACTTCTGCAATTCCGCACTTCTCCCCCCCCCCCCCATTTAACAGAGAAGGACCCCGGAGTCCAAGCCCTCTCGCCGGAAGCATTCGCGCTGGGTGCGCCAACTCGGCCTGACCGCAGGGTCCGCAAGCCCCAGACACGCCATCAGTGAGCGATGTTCTGGGCTCGAGGCCCCGGCTCTCCCCGGGAGAGACAGCCCCTCCCCCGCCCCCAGCCAAGCCGAGACCCTGGCCTCGGAGAAAAGGAGCGAAAACCCCAGGGGTTCTCGGTAGGAAAGTGGGAAGGCGCAGGGCTGTCACCCACCCCGAAGCGGAAAGCAACGCGCGCCCCGGCGCGGTGAAAACGTGGCAGGAACCGCGCTCAAGGCGGCGTCTCTTCCTCTGGATCCTGCTGAGGGTCCCGCGGAAACCCTCCTGGGCCGCCCCGCCGCCCCCACTCCTTCCCTCACGCGGACTGGAGCAGAAACTGATGCACCCAGGCTCGACCCAGAGACCGTCTTTCCCCCGCGGAGCTCGCCTGCGAGCCTTCGACGTGGCCGCGGGGGCGCCCAGACCATCCTCCCCCTCCCCCCGGCTAATGCCCTCAGTCCAGCCATGTCCGCCCTCCCCTCGGCCCTGTCTCCTCACCGCTGCCGCCGCCGCCACAGAGTGGGCGACTAGGACAGTCTCAGCCGGGAACCGAAGGTGCCGCGTCCGCGAGCCCGCGCTCTGTGACTGGGAGCGCGGCGAACCTCGTCTGGGACGCGCTAGCGACTCCCGCGTCGTCGGACGGCCGAGCGCGCGCCGAGAGGGAAGGAGGGCGGACGGGCGGACGCGCGAGCGAGCGCGGGATCGAGGCAACGCGCGGGGGGCTCTCGGTCCGGAAGAGGGGAGGGGCGATGACCCGGGAAAAGGTTGGCGCCGCGCGGGACCGGCTCGCGCGCCCTGAGGGGGGTGGAGCCAAGGGGGCGGGGCTTCGCCGCAAAGCCCGCCCCCGAGACCTGGCAGCGCTGCACACGCCCCGACGCACCATCGGCCCCGCCACACGCAGTGTACGGACCCTCAAGTCCGGGAACTTGTCCCACTTCGGCTCGGGATTCCCTCCTGCGAAAGACCCGCGACGAGGGTGGAACTGATTCCCGCTTGGCTCCAGCCCTCTCCCCTCGGGTGGGGGGGGCTCTTGTGGACCTTGTCCCCACAGCTGCTGCGGCCTTTTTTTACTCCCCTCAGATCTCTTTTCCACTCTCGGTCTCAATCTCTTCCTGTCTGGAAGAAGAGTTCGAGACCCAGCTTTAGCTCCAGCCAAAAAGACCTGGAGCTTCGAGACCTAGAGCAACGACTCGGGCTTGACTACTCATTTATAGAGCTATTCTTCACTTCTTTTTTAATTACTTAGGGTCAGTCAGCGGCACGGCCAAATTTTAGGTTGTTCGTTTAAAACTAGTTCGTCGCTGCGTTACCTTGACTCTCTTGAGAGAGTCAGGACTGCCTCCTGTTGGCCATTGTGTTTGGGCTTAGAACTGAGACTAAATACCATCTACAAAAGATGCGCGCGTTGGCTGAATGAATGAAGCCTGTAGAGCACGAGTTTTCTTCTTGTGAGACACTTCTACTTGAGAATAGCAGAGATAGCGCTCATCTTCAAGCTAATACAACTGTGAGAAAGGAACATTAACTTTCTGAAGAAAAGGAGCAACAGCTTTCCAACTTCTTATATTGAATTGGCACTGTAGTATTACTTTCGTGAAATAATCTATCAAACACACCAAAACCATACCTTTGTACTGTTTTTTTAAAAATTTTATTCTACAGAGGCCTGTTTTCACTCTGTCTAGAATCTATTGTGAGATACTCAATAACTAAATCTTCAAATTACACATTAACTAGATTTCTTCACTGCTCACCTGTTTTATACTTAACATTTTTAATACTGATGATGATTTTAACCCATTAGCAATTCAAAATGGTGATTACTTAGCAATAATACATTTGCAAACCCAAAACCTGTGCAAT